ATAAAAATACAAACTAATTACTTTGGTATAAAATAATAGTACCTCTCAATAAATTCTACAGCGACTTAAATATTGTTATGCTTTGAGCATTACTAAAATGGACATATCTTTTGTAGAGTTATATTTAGCTTTATCCTAACTTCAATCTATTTTAGCAGTCTCAATAGTTTAGAGTATTGTCATGAAACTTGGCCTGGTGGCAAGACAATAAAATAGTTACCCCAAAACAAATTAGTTGATTAATGAACAATATTAAATTGCAAGGATTATAACATTAGTACTATCAGAAGTTATATTAATAAGTGAAAATATTTTCTACCATTAGAGAAAGAACAGAATTATCGGAAGAAGTTCATTCTACCCAGTTGTATACTGATCTCGTGAACATTAAATAACGACAAACATTAAATGCACAAACAAAATTAATTTCAAGTAGTGCATACGTTTTTTTAGATAGGATAAAATTGCATTTCGAAAACACGAATTAATCGTTGTAGTTTAGTTTATGATATTGTTAATGAGATAATAGGATGAAACTTAATTTCGTGGAATTGTTTAAAACTTTATTCTCTGTGCATACATAAACAATAATCATACAAGAGTGGAGGGGATGAACAGTTTTGTCGGCTGTTATCAGAGGGAGTGAGTAGTTGTATAGCTTGAATCATGAGAGATAGCGGAATCGTGTAAGCTCACTCTGATAGAATAACAGCTGCATTTTTCTCATTTATTAAACGTGACACAGTAGAAATATGAAAGAAAATTTCAAAAATAGTGCTGAAATGAGATAATGCATAGTAGCATCTCTCTCTTGCGATAAGAATTACGATCGAGGGGGAAAAACAGAGAGAAAGCGAGACTGGAAAAACTTGGTCGGGTTTGTTATTTTAGATGTGTTTACGCATTAGAGAGAAATTGCGGAACATAAACAAAAGTACGAGGGGTAATGAAGGAACGTAGATTCTACCTGATGCAACGCTGTGAGGCCGTCAACATTTCCGGTGTTGATATCTGCCCCCTTTTGGAGTAAACGTACGACCTCCTCCTTGTCGCCTGCCGCGCATGCTGCCAGAAACACACAATCCGCGGAGAACTTAATCTTCCGTGGGATCTGACGTGGTTGGGCCGGTTCACGATTCGTCTCGGACTGTTCCCAGCGTTTCAGCTGTTCAGCCCTTTTAAACAGGGCCGAGCTCGAACGACTCTCGAGAGACATTGCTCGAAAACACGCACGACTGCACTCGAGAACCTTATAACCACTTCGCACGGGTCTCCTCTTCTCTTTCTTTCTACTCTTCTTCTCGCTCTCTCTCTTTTATACGTTTTTGGATCTCCACACTTCGCCGAGGCCACTTCACTTCAGTTCACTTTGCGTGATTTGACACGCTGAAACGGCCATTTACCACTTCTTACCTCCATATACGACTCTAATCGCGGGTCGCGTGTGCTTCTATGAAAAAAAATACACGTTAAAATTCGTTCTGACGGGACCACGAAGGGAGCGGTCGGTCGCCTTCACCAGACTCAGTTACAGGACGGCTAGATTCGCGTGCTCTTTGCTATTCTTGGCAGTCCCGTACCCGTGCGAGCTGTTTCGAAACCAACGAAACAACCTATAGTTTAGCCAACATTGCGGGTTACTATGTTCCTAGTAATTGCTGCAGAATCATGTTTTGAGGTTAGGTGTATGTATATTAATGGCGGTCAACCAATCCGCAAACGGTACCTGCTTGGGATGGACCACGATTTTATAAATCTGAACTTGAACCATAGAGATAACATAAATAGAGGAGGGGGGTCAGGCCAAAACCTATCGCTCCTCTAGAAAGAGAGAACAAATTTGTGGCACTAACTATCCTTGTCTAATGACACATGCGCATTACAATCGAATGTCGTCTGCATCCACCCGTTTTGGAAAATAAATTTACTGGTGCGTCGCGAAGTGCACCTGATACACGCTGAATTAACTTTGTGTATCTAATTCAAAAAATCAAATGGACTGTATTCGGTTTTTATAGATCCGCCGGCGGAAAAACTGGGAACTATGAAAACTCATTTCTCGTTTTCTGGACATAATTTTGAGAAAAATACGATAAAATTTAGATATATAAACATAATCTATTGATATATTTAACGCTAAACTGTTTTTCCAAATTTTCTCATGTCTCATAT